ATTAAGACAATGGCCTACTACAGCTTTGTCTGGGTGAGTATGTTCAATAGTTGTTTGAATCTCTTCCCACATCTGACACACCTTCTTAATTACTGCAGAAGGGACATTCGCTGGTGCTGTTGCCACCACCTCCTCCTCCACTGCAGAATCATTCGCTGCTGTGTTGGCTTGCTGTTCCTGTTGAAGGGCTAGGAGTTCTTCGGTGGTCAGTTCTTCGTTGTGTTCTTCCACCAACTCCTCCACATCATCACCATCCAATTCCAAGCCCATTTTCGGGCCTAGACTAACAATTTCCTCAACAATAGGCGCATCATTTATAGGCTCAAACCCCTCAAAGTCTAGTTCTCTCACACCTTCAGGCCACAATTTTCTCCAGCCAGAGATCAGGGTTCTTTGAGTCACTTCTTGCCAGGCTTTGTCAACGAGTTTTAAAGCACCTAAAAATGTTAAAATGCTCTCTCCAGAACTCTTTGAGGGTGAGGTTTGTGGCTTCAGTCACTTCAAAACATTTCCGGAAAAGTGCCCTTTCATACAGTTTCTTAAAATTCGCTATGATTTTCTGGTCCATAGGCTGAATTAGAGGAGTGGTGTTAGGAGGAAGGAATTTAACTGTGAGGAATTTATTGTATTGAGGCATCAAATCATCTTCCAAGCCTGGAGGATGAGCAGGAGCATTGTCAAGGAGAAGCATGGCTCTGAGTGGCAATTGTTTCTCCTGCAGATATTTTTCTATGGCAGGGCACAGCACTTCATTCACCCACTCCGAAAAAATAAGCCTAGTCACCCATGCTTTTTTATTAGACTTCCACATCACAGACAAACGGTTTTCTGCACATTATACTGTTTGAAAACCCTTGGATTTTCAGAATGATACACTAGCAAGGGTTTAATTTTTAAATAGCCACTCGCATTTGAACACAGCACAAGCGTAAACCTATCTTTCATAGGCTTGTGTCCAGGCAAGGATTTTTCCTCCTTGGTAATGTATGTCCTCTTAGGCATTCTTTTCCAAAACAGTCCTGTTTCGTCACAATTAAACACTTGTTGCGGTAGGTATCCCTCAGCCTGTGCAAACTCTTTAAATTCGTCAATAAATCGTCCAGCGGCTGGTTTGTCTGAGCTGGCTGCCTCCCCATGCCTTGTAACACTATGGATACCACTTCTCTTTCTAAATTTTTCAAACCAGCCCCTGCTTGCCTTAAACTCTTTCTTATCTGCATCACTCGTTGCAGGGGTCTTCTTTAGAAGGTCTTCGTGCAACACCCTGGCTTTCTCACAAATAATGGCCTCCGAAACACTATCACCCCTCAATTCCTTGTCGTGTATCCAAATTAATAACAACTTTTCCACTTCTTCAAGTATTTGTGGTCTTTGTGTCGTTAATGTTCTTACTCCTTTTGCCACATTAGCACTCATAATCTTATTTTTCTTCTTAAGTATAGTGCATATTGTTGATGTCGCTTTGTTGTACTGCCTACAAAGATCAACAACACGTGTACCGTTCTCATGCTTTCGAATGATCTCTTGTTTCTCCTCTATTGTCATCCTCACATGAGCTTTCTGGCCTTTATCCTTACCACTGGCTTTCTTGGGACTCATGGTGAGATATATAATAACAAATTGTATAGACAAATCACCAAAAATCCAACAAAACACTGAAAATTCACGACAAGAATTGATGTGGGGGTAGTCACTGCGCGCGAGACAATGGTGAACTGAGGGGCAGCGGGGCAGAGGGGCGACGATCGCCGAACGACCACGCACTAGGTCGGCTGTACGCGTATCAACAAACTCGCGTTCAAACTCGACTCCCGAAGTAACCATCGCCTTCCGAGACAAATTTTTGGAGTAAATACACCTCGCCTTCCGAAAATCTCGCATACAGGGACAATCGCATTCCGAGGTACCACTGTACAGTTATGGTGAACAAAACATGTAAATACTTATATATAACGTCTGTATATAAAAGCAAAAACAGTATGGTGGGTGGAGAATAGTGGCAAGTCAGGTGAGGTGAGGTGAGGGAGGGAGGGAGGGAGTGGCAGCCAGTCACTGCCTGCCACTGCCACTCAGCATACCAACTTAGTGGTTCGTCATGGTGAACAAAACATGCAGATACTTATATATAACCTGTGTATATAGTGTAATAACCGACAAAGTATTTGTTCACTGTTTGATGAACATAATTGAATCAACAATATGCACACCATATTTTTGAGTACAGCGATGATTCACTCATTTTATTATATAAATATATCACACTACACACTATTGAATAATATTACAGCAAAAAAACTACGAAAAATCAATCAGAGACATTAAAATAATTAGGTAATTATCTCTTTGTGGCAACTCCGGCCTGACAGCTGGCGATCAACAGACCGCCTGGGACGCACGCTCAGTCAGTGCCTGATTTTTGCCAGAATTCCCCGCCCTATAGTGGGCAATATATGCCACTTACGATTTTTTTATTATTTTCCCGTGATCAGTGAACACAAATTAACAGGTTAAGAAGAAAAAATAATATTTTTTTTTTTTGTTTGGTATGCGCCTGTGGGTGTCAAATGGTATATAGCTATGCGCCATTTAAGGGTTAACCCTTAAATTGCGCATCGCATCATATGATGCTTTGACCGACTTACAGTAAATTGTGCATCGCATCCTATGATGCTTTGGAGTACTACGCAAGATTTAAATGGCCCGCAGATACACGGGGTTCACCACACCTTCATCAGGGCTCTTGTAAACAGACGCCATTTTAAAAAAAATTGTGGGTTAAATTCCCGGGTGTTAGGGGCCTCAGTATTGAGTGAGCTACCAAGCCTGACGCATGCAGCATGAGCTTACAGCACTGCTGTTCAGCTTGTGACCACAGCATCGCCTAAAAATGCCATAATATACTTGTTCATGCTATTATGTAGCGATGATAGTATTACAGAAGACCCCTGACTGTGATAAAACTGACCAGGGTTCTGATAATAGCAGGATTGTGGTGATATTTAGCACTGTGCTCCATGGAGGGAGGAGTAATACTGTGGGAGGGAGGGTGGTGGCATTGTCTTCTGACTGTGTGTGGCCACCTTTTATTGACTGCACTCACCATACCAGCTTAGTGGTTCGCTATGGTGAACACAAATGTAGATACTTATATATAACGTGTGTATAGAGGGTATAAACAGCGAGAGGAGTAGGATGGGATCTGCCATTTTGGTGAGGGTGGTGGCGTCATCTGCACGACTTATCATGTTGTTTACTGGTGACCACTGTGGTCTTTGGGCACCATACCAGTTTACTTGTACATGTATGGTGAATAAAACAGGTAGATATTTATATATAATGTGTATATATAGCGTAATAACACCACAAACAGTATTGTTGGAGGAGAAATATTAGTGAGTCTGGCCTTGAGGGCGGCAGCCAGCCGACTGTGTGAGGTCCTACGTCTTTATGCCTTTACTCACCATACAAGCTTAGATGTACAGTTATGGTGAACAAAACATTTAAATACTTATATATAACGTCTGTATATACTGTAAAGGCAAAAACAGTATGGTGGGTGGAGAATGGTGTTAAGTCAGGTGAGGTGAGGGAGGGAAGGAGTGGCAGCCAGTGGAGGGCTGCCACTGCCACTGCCACTCAGCATACCAACTTAGTGGTTCGTTATGGTGAACACGAATGTAGATACTTATATATAGCGTCTGTATATAGTGAATAAAAGCAAAAACAGTATTGTGGGAGGAGAATGTGGGTGAGTCAGGTGACTTGAGGGAGAGAGGAAGTAGCAGCCAGTGGCGGACTGCCACTCAGCTTGCCAACTTAGTGGTTCGTTATGGTGAACACGAATGTAGATACTTATATATAACATCTGTATATAGTGAATAAAAGCAAAAACAGTATTGTGGGAGGAGAATGTGGGCGAGTGAGGTGTTGAGGGAGGGCGTGAGTGGCTGGCTGGTACACGGCGGTCACTCCATGTTATTTTTTGACTTATAATAGCAACTTAGTGGTTCATTATGGTGAACAAAACATGCAGATACTTATACGTAACTGTGTATATAGTGTAATAACCGACAAAGTATTTGTTCACTATTTGATGAACATAATTGAATCAACAATATGCACACCATATTTTTGAGTACAGCCATGATTCACTCATTTTATTATATAACTATATCACACTACACACTATTGAATAATAATATAGCAAAAAAAACTATGAAAAATCAGAGACATTGAAATAATTAGGTAATTATCTCTTTGTGGCAACTCCGGCCTGACAGCTGGCAAGCAACAGACCTCCTGGGACACACGCTGAGTCAGCGCCTGTTTTTTTGCCAGACTTCCCCGCCCTATAGCGGGCAATATATGCCACTTACGATTTTTTTATTATTTTTCCCATGATCAGTGAACACAAATTAACAGGTTAGAAAAAAAAAAGTTTTTGTTTTTTTGTATGCGCCTGTGGGTGTCAAATGGTATATAGCCATGGCCATTTATGGGTTAAGGCCCAGAGTAGCACAAGGGCTAACCTGTGATATGATTGGAAAACTTTTCCACCAGTCTGTGAACTATCTCAACATCCTAAATAAGTCATCGCCTCAGCGAACCAGAGTTCGTCGAATTGGGTGAGTAAATCTTGCCTGGAAAGCGTGCGTACTAACCAGAGATTCACCAAATTGAGTCGAACTTCCACTGTATTGAACAACCTGTGGAAGATAACTTCAGGGAGCCACTAGGGCTTTACCAGGAAGAGGCATTTCATTACATTCAGTGCTGGATTTTATCAACTGTTATTGGTACTTGCTCATCCTGGAAAGTTGTTTTTCTGCTGATTCTATCAGTTTGTGTAACTCCACACACTGGTTTTCTTTGCCAAACATTCCTTGTTATACATTATTACATGTTATTAAATAATTTTATTTTGTCACCTGAAATATAGTATTAGTTTTAGTATGCTATGAGATAAGTAACTATTCTGCTGACTCTAATATCATTTACAGTTTGTAAACAAGATAGAAAGCTCAAATGCAGAAGAATTTGTTGAGGAAATTGAAGACTTAGTTCACCGCCTTCGTCGTTCACCAGAAACAGTGAGAATGCTGCCATCAACGCCTCATGCAGTGCTGCGTGTCCTGCTGGAAGCGGGTTGCACCCAAACTCTTCTCAAGATGCTCTCAGATCCTCTCAATTATGGCATATTTCCAGATCATTATACATCTAACCTTCTCATGGATACTTTCTTGGAGCAAAAGAACTACACAGGTTTGCCAGCAGCAGTATACATTACAGTAGTTAGTATGAGAAAGCTTGATGTTTCAGAATGACTTATAATTATTTAATAGTTTTGGATGTCAGGGACAGGACACCTGTATGTAGGCTGATCGAGGCCCCCCCCCCCTCAGGTCACTACGGGCTCCCGGGTATGTATTTAATGCTAGGTGAACAGTGGTATCGGGGAAAAGAAGCATGCCCATCCATTTGTCTTCCCTGGGGGATCAAAGCCGGGATCCTCGAGTGAGTTGTATACATAAATCACTGTAATACAATACCAAATTTATGATGCATAATTAATATTTTGTAATGGAAGAGTGGTGTTATTTTGTAACAGCAGGATGGCTCTATACTTTAGTGCAGTGGTCTATACCTTCTGCTTACAACTTTAGCATGTTCTTTGAGAAAATCTTTATTTTCTTATATTTTTAACTTAATATTTTTGAGGATGTGGAACGGATTAATTCAATTTATATTATTTCTTATGGGCAAATTCGTTTTGGTTGACGAATTTTTGGATGACAATGTGTGTCTGGGAATGGATTACGATAAAGGTAACAAAGGTACCACTGTATAGTCAACCTGTCCTCTTAAAAAGAGCGTCGCTTTTGGCCGTTTGCCCGTATGGCCGAATTTGGACGTAATTTGAAAATGAAAAAAAAATGAAAATAAATATGGGATTTTTTTTTCAACAACAGTAAGTTAAGGGTCCTCTGATAGGTTAGGTGGGCAGGAAATTCTCATAAAGCTTCAAAACGTTATGAAAAACGTTAATTTAGAGTGTCCTCTTATAACCTCTGCGCGTACGCCGGACGACTTAAATAGAAAACGGAACAGAACGTCACTTTTGTGAGTCGATTTCATTTCAAATTACGTCCAAATTTGGCCATAGTGCGCATACGAGCGAAAAGTGACGTTGTTTTTAAGAGGACGGGTTGATATAGTAGAATCTCAGTTGTCGAATGCTCCTCTTTCTGAATTTTCGGTTTTTGACCTCAATTTCTTTGTAAAATTTGACTCTGTATTCGAGGTTTGCCTCACTTTTCAAGTTTATTTATACACGTCTGGGTCTACCAAGTGCATGCCGCACCTCAGTTGACCAGTGTGTCCCAACTAGTGATGACCGTGCTTGAATTCTTTGTGAAGATTTTCATTGTTTTTGTGCTTTTTTTGTTTCTGAACTTGTTTTTGTGCTTTTTTGGTTTCTGAACATAATAGATCTTATTATATATCATACTATGGGATCAGGAGGGTTTCCCCCACCCCCAGGAGGGGGAAGGTGGCCACGCCTAGGCGGCCCAAGCGCCCACACTGTCAGTTCGTCGACTGATGCCGTATAGAGCTGACGTTACCTCAGGTCTAATTCTCCTGCTGGATTTTACCCTTTGTGGTTATGCCAGCTGTGTTTATTGTGTGGTGACCAGGTGTTCTAAGAAGTACTCGTGCTGCATGCGTCTAGGGTTACCATCCTTAAGTGCCCGGTAGGTACTGCCCTTGTGTATTCAGAGTTTTCTTCCCTGGGACGTTCGGGATTACACTCCCATTGAGGTTAGTGTCGCTTGTCTTTGACTTTGCCCTAGGGGTTCAGCGGGGCTCATGGGGATCTCCGTCAGGCCCTGGGTAGGGAGTGTTGTTGTTGACTGGGGTGCACGGTATTTTGTGCAGCTTGCATAATCGCGGCCAACGTCTCTCTCTCTCTCTGGTTGTTTGTGGTGTATTTTTGAGTGTTTAAGGTTTTTATTTGTATTTTCCTGGAGGAGGTCTGCCTAGCTTCTGATTAGGTTTGCCTAGGTTATGTTTGGGGGATTCCTCCTCTGGGCTTATCAAGGTTTTCGCCATTATCAAATTGTTCACAATATAAAGGCGCGGATTTTAAAACTAGTCCCATAATAATAGAACAACAATAAATGGAATTTTAGCAAATATTTTAAAAGTTTGACACTTTTTGATGCTCATCACCACAAAATTATTTATACCTGTCCAGTGTTCTGGCATTAATTTTCGTGTTGTCTTTCATTTTGGTATCAAATTGTGCGCAATCTAAAGGCCTCATTTTGAAATCACTCCAAGATTGATGGGATAAAATTAAAGTTTTTAACAAATATTTTTAATGAATGACGCAAGACGGAGGCAACCAAGATGACTCGAGAAAAATGCATGACGACGTATGTCGGCAATGGAGTGTGATAGTGTTAACCTTATGACCTGGCACACAATCCTCACTCCTCATAGCTAGAGTTTTTCTGGTAAACTGCTCCAATACAGCCCAGTTTCATCAGCATTATAAATTTGATAAGAATATAAATTATTTGATGAAATGTATGTTCTTAATTTATGTTTAAATGGTTCTACACTGCTCGTATCTGCATTCAATTTTTCACCAACAATTTTCCTCTTCACAATATTGTGCCTCCCTTTGAACCTTGCAACCCACCCTTCACTAGCTTGGAAATCCTTTATCCCAAGTCTTTCTACAAATCTGCTTGCAGCATTTTGTATTTCTGGGCCGCAAATTGTCACGCCAGCTGTGCGGTGCTGAGCAAACCATTTGTACACAGCCTCATCCAACTGTACATGCGTAGAATTTTTCAAAGTTTTTCTCCCACACCCTCTGCTAGTGCTTGCACCTTCACTCTCACTGGTTGAAATGTATTTCAGATATTTCTTTGTTTTCTTATATCAGAAACGGTACTAGTGCCTATATTAAATTCCTTGGCAACACTTGAAGTCGACCGGCTGTTTTCACAAAGTTGTATAACACGTAGCTTGTCTTTAATTGTTAGGACAACCTTCTTCCTCTTAACACCTCCAGAATGATTGATGCTGCTACCAGACATAGTCTTAACCAAAAATGTTCAAAGTTACTATGAAAATAAAAAGGTTATTTAAAAAATATTTCACTAACGGCGTGGCACTGTGGTATAACATGAGGGACGGGAGCACATGGCTTGACTAGGCTTGGACGGGTCCACTTGGGGCAGGGAGGCACATTACGTAGGCCGCCAGGAGGAAACGACTCACAATATTTTTGAAGGAAACTTCAGCCTGTGCAAATTGTTTTTAGGAAACTTGTATATTTGTTATTATATAATTACAACCTCGTTGTAATTATATAATACTGTTGTTGTATTATATAATTACTTGTTGTACTGTACAACAAAGTACAGTACAACCTCGATTCAACGTACTATATGGGACCAACCCCAGTTTGTTGGAGCGTTGGATTCGTTGCAAGAGGTGACCTTCAGGAGGCGTTTGCGTCAGTGTCTTTTTTTTTCTTTTACACAATAAAAATGCATTATCATATTACATACTGTACCTATATTTTACTACTCTACTAAATATTACTGTAATTCATTTAGGGAGGGACTCCTGGGACTCCTGAACCGCTTCCATGTTTCTCCCTCTGGCAGCATTGCTGCTGCTGCGGTCCTGCCTACAACTCCTACAACTTGGCAGTCTCCGTGGTGTAGTGGTAAGACACTCGCCTGGCGTTCCGCGAGCGCTATGTCATGGGTTCGTATCCTGGCCGGGGAGGATTTACTGGGCGCAATTTCTTAACTGTAGCCTCTGTTTAACGCAACAGTAAAATGTGTACTTGGATGAAAAAACAATTCTTCGCGGCAGGGGATCGTATTCCAGGGACCATAGGATTAAGGACTTGCCCGAAACGCTACGCGTACTAGTGGCTGTACAAGAACGTAACAACTCTTGTATATATCTCAAAAAAAAAAAAAAAAAAAAAAACTATCTTTGGGGGCTCCCAGGTTATTTGGCAGTTGCTCGAGCAGCTGTGTGGGAGTCTGAACTTCGCCGTGCTGGTTTAACTGCCGGGTCGAGTTTGGCTTCGGCGTCTGTTCTGGTTCATTCGGGGACGTCCCTTCTACCTCTCTCGCGATCTCTAGGTTTAGCCTCCAGGGGCCTTGGGTCGGTTGCTGCATCACCAGCTTCATCGGATTTTTCGGGGTTCAGTGCCTTGGGGCCCTACCCGAAGCCTCGCTCAATGTGTTCAAGGATACCTCATATCTTGGCTGGGGTTTTGTAACCAGTGCTCACCAGACTGGCCAGGGGCGGTGGGCTACATCTTTCCGTCGGGTTCACAGCATGTGTGGGTGTATTTGGCTGTCACTTTGGAGGGTTCGGGTCACTCGGGGTTCAACAATCTGGCTCCATTCTGACTGCTCTATGATGGTTCATTGTCTGAACCATTGGGGGGTTCTCTTTGGTCCTTGGGGCTGGTCGCTTCAAGTGGCTCATCTCATGGATTCTTGGAGTTTAACTCTCTGTGCAGTTCACATCTGGGAGGGGTGTCCAACATCCTAGTGGACGGCCTGTCTCAGTTCATTTCCCTGTCTACAGAATGGACACTCGATGCCAACTCCCTCAGTTGGCTTCGCTGAACATACGGGCTCCCAGAGGTGGATCTCTTCATGACAGCATGGTCTCTGCATCTCCTGATATATGTGGCACCCTTCCCCAACTGCGGAGACATCGCGGCAGACACCTTTTCACAGGACTGGTCAAGGTGGGGGTTACTTATACCTCTTAAAGTCCAGCTGTTGCTTCGTGTCCTGGCTCATTTAGAGACTTACCACAAGAGAGTCGTCCTAATGGCCCCTTGGTGGCCGGCCCAACCTTGGTTTCAGGTGCTGCTTGGTCAGTGTCTGAACCCGGGGCATTGTCTGCGGCTCTGCCTCTTTCAGCAGATCAAACCAGTCCGGTACATGGCTGGTTTGGTCTACTTCACTCTTCGCGCCTGGACGTTTTTGAAGTGGGTATTTCATCACTTGTATGGTGATCAGGTGGCTTCAATGATGGTGTCCCACCTGCGAGCTTCATCTCAGCGACAGTACGAAGTTTCCTGTTTCCTGGCAGTATGACTTTTTTTTCTCCATTTTTCTCTCTTCATAGGTTTTCAATTTCTGATTAGGTTGTTTTGTCCTTTCTTTCTTTCTTGCCTTTTTCAGGACCGTCACTTGATTACCAATACT